GAGCAGTGCGTCAGTTTATCAGTAGAGGTTTCATAGACATAGTCGTTGGGTTAAGATTCAGATATTTTTGGTAATAACTTAGCAATATTTCATTGGTTACTGTGAATAAAGTTTTGGAGTTGATTTATTGAAATGTTTAAATTAAACAATAGTATTTGGTTAGAGTATTGCCTTGTTGCATATAAAGTTCGGAGTTATAATAGATTTGATAAGCAGAGATGTTTTGCTCGGTCATGTTTAGTGATCGATTGCCGGTCTCGGCTTGTTTAGAAAATGGGTGGTGACAATAACTTAGCTGCACAGGCTGCTACTCTTGTTTCGTTAGCTGTGAAAAAACAGACAAAATGCAACAACTTTTTCCTCAAACCTTGATCTACTCTCGTTTCATTATAAGAACGAGACTCGAGGTGACACTTTACATTGCCACTGTGCTTGTTCTCTGTGGTAAGTTTTGAGTTTAAGAAATGGGAAATTTTCAAGGTTATCCTTTCAGAGTACTTTTGTCCTTACGGGTGAAAATGTTTTAATCTGTGCATCTGAATGTGACTGCAGGTACTAGATTATATTGAAGATACCAATCTTCATGAGATTGTTACCTCTTGTAAGAACTTAAGGTATTTCCTTCCGAGCCAAATGCATGCGCAAGAACCGAATGTATCCTTGACAGAGCAAGGCCTTGTAGCTGTCTGCGTTGGCTTCCCTAAGCTCCACTCGGTTCTATACTTCTGTTGCCAAATGACAAGTGCCACCTTGGTTACTATTGCAAGGAACCGTCCTAACTTGATCAGACTACCTTTGTGTATATATAATCAAGCCTCAAACTCCTGATTATCTAGTCCTTGGACCGCTTGATGCTGGTTTTGGAGCCATCCTGCAACACTGCAAGGGATTGCGGCGACTTTTACTTTCTGGCCTCCTTATGGATCTCGTGGTTGAGTACATCAAGGCCCATGCTAAGAAGCTAGAGATGCTCTCCGTAACTTTTGCAGGGGATAGTGCTCTAGGCCTCTACTATGTGCTCTCCGGTTGTGAAAGCCTCCATAAGTTGGAGATCAGGGACTGCCCCTTGGCGACAAGTCTAAAAACATCATAGAACTACGAATTGAACACCAAATCAAATGAAACTAAAAGTGCACACAAGTCTAAAAATATCCTACGGGCTTGTTCGCTCGATCAAATCGCCAACATAACACCTAGAACTACGAATTGAACACCAAATCAAATAAAATTTTCAAGAAAACTTTGAAGCTTATATTTTCACCGCCGGGCATCCAAATCACGTCAAACCAACACTATTTCTCACCAAATTTCAGAAACAAGTCATAAATGTGGTATTGGCCCTATACCGGGTTTCGGAACCAAAATACGGATCCGATATCAAAAAGTCAACTATTGGTCAAACACTTCAAATTCATTAAGTCTTTAACTTTCAAATTTCAAGAACGTCTAATAAAGACTTCCGAATTCGATTCTGAGCGTATGCTCAAGTCCCAAATCACAATATGGACCTTTTGGGGCCGTCAAAACACGAGTTTGGGTCTGTTTGCTCAAAATGTTGGCTGAAGTCAACCCAAATAGATTTCAAAGCAAAAATTCATATTTTTCTCATTTTTTAACATAAAAGCATTTCGGAATCACGCCCGGACTGAACACGCAAATCAAGAATGACTAAAATGAGGTTTTTAATGCCTCAGAACATAGAATTTGGTTTTAAAACATGAGATGACCTAACGGGTCATCACACTCATGTACTCAGTGAAACCGAATTTTGGTAATGTATTTTATGTCAGTAATTGTGAGATTTTCTGAATTCAAATATTATATTTTCAGTATTTAAAAGAAATGGTGTTTCGTTGAGATTTATCGGCTTGCCTAGTATTGAGATAGGCTCTATCACGACTTGTGAGATTTTGGGTCGTGACACCATTCCAGAAAAAACATTGTAAAAGTAACAAACTAAGAAAGCAAAAAGTCAAAATAAGCGAGAATTTTGGGTTAGAAAGATTATGGGTATCAATGGATTTTTTACTATGGGTAAGTACAAAAGAAGTGATGATATTGGGGTTCACTGCGTTTCTTACGGTGATGATTTTTGGTAAATGGAGTTTTTCTTGAAAAAAGGAAGAGTATCTTAAATGTAGGGGATTATGTGTAAATAATATCCAATATTTAAGGTATGTTTCCTTTCCTCCTTTTTATGATTTTATATAAAACTAGTAAATATAGGTATATAAAGTAATTAATAAGGAATCTAAATAAATATAATAAATAAGTTTTTATTATAGTATAGCTAAGTAAAACTTTTATGTTAAATTGCACTAATAGTGACCGAGTCTTTATATTATCGGTATATATATTTTAAAACATAAAAGAAATATATCCATTGTCATAATTCAGTATATGCAGCTAGCCATGTGGTCAAGAGCAGACGAACTGAAAATGTTTGTTTTTATTTTTTGCAAGAAAAAGACATTTATAGAATTGATGTGATAATTTTAGCCTCATAGTTTTCTTCCAATTGAAAGGAAATTTTCCAAACGCTGCTTTCATTTGCAATAACCAGTCATCTCACGCAAAAGGAACTTTCACAATTACTAGTATAACTTATTATAATGTAAAATGCATTATAATACAACGTTTTAGTAAAATGTTATATTATATACTCCCTCGGTTTCATATTGTTTGAGCTAGTTTGATTCCATACGAAGTTTAAGAAAAAAAAAAGAATGACTTTTAAAACTTGTGATCTTAAAAGATTAGGGGTAAAAGGTTTATGGGGTCATACCATTTGTGTGGCTATAAAAACTTCTTATTAAGGGTAAAAAAGGTAAAATGAATAATTTAAAGTTGAATTATTACCAGATTTAAAAATATATTATTTATTTTAAAATAAACTAAAAAGGAAGTGTCTCATTTAATATGAAACAGAGGCAGTAATACGTTTTGCTGCATCCAAATTTAAGGCCATTCTTGGTTAAGAAAGAAGTGCGACAGT